AGTATTTCTAACCTTCAAATTAAGATGGCTTGAAGTATTTCTAACCTTCAAATTAAGATGGGTTGAAGTATTTCTAACCTTCAAATTAAGATGGCTTGAAGTATTTCTAACCTTCAAATTAAGAGAAAAGAGGACAGAAAGTTTATTTTATTTACTGACAATGTTTACATCTTTACACTATTGTAAAAGGTTACAACTACAGCGGGGGGACCATCCAAAGTCAGTCTTAAGGCAAAGCAAACTAGGAAGTCGCTTTGGGCCCCGCGCTTTTGGGGGAGGAAGCGTGCTTGAAATTTGAAATCCCATGAAATATTAAGTGCTGCGCCATGATCAATTTACGATTTCGTTTATATATTTTCAAGTTGATAAGTGCGCGATAGCCCCTAATAGAAAAGTTAAAAGTGGGGAGGCGCCTTTTTGCCAACCAGTGAGCGCATACATTGATTTTTTTGTTGTTGTCATGTCAACCAAATGGCGCGTGCCCTGATATTGTGACGTCTCTTGTTTTGGAACAATTTTACTTGACTTACAGAAGAGGACCTCGCGAGCGACTCTGCCTCCCAAACCTCAATGGCCGGCTCTGAGGTCATGTATCACGAAATATTCTAAATATTTAAACAGTGAGAATATAAGTCAAACCCGAACTTCGAGCAATAAATAAACTTATTTTTTTTTCGTCTGTTGTTAATCATCGTTTATTCAGTAAGTATTAGATACAATTTCAAAGTAATTATTCAAAATCTGTATCTCTCTTTTGAACAAGGGCATAAAAAAAAGTTACTTAATTGTAATGAAAATAAACAATTCCATAAGAAATTGTGACCGACTTTACCTTTCATACACCCGCGTGCACTTGGAATCCTTCGAGTCCAACCTGGACAACATTCGTACGTTGTTACTGTACGTGGCGTCGTCTTGTAGACTGTACGATACGCAGTTTCGTAGATCAGACTATAAAATAATAACCAACAAAAGTATAAGAGATACTTCCATTAGCAGCAGATACTTTAATTAACACCGACGTGGCTCATTTTACACTTCAAATGTAGAATACTTTGAATTAAGAAATGACAGGTGCAAAACCAGACCATTGCAGGTCATAGAACGTGAAATGTCAGGAACTGTATGCTTCAAAAAAATGTTGACAAATTCTTAATTTGATTTGCAAGTAATGAACTATTAGGTAGAATATTTTTTATAGAATGAGTATTCAGTTTTCAAGCGGGTCCTCTAGTGGCTAAGCAGTAAATTTCAGAGCTTATAACTATAGAATACGAATAAAACAATAAGTAAAGCTAAATGCGTTTCAAAAGCTAAAAGCTCGTCGAGCTGTGGGGATGAAAACATCAACTGTGGGAATGTTTGTTTGTAGTTAAGCACAAAACTACACAAAGGGCTATCCGTGCTCTGCCCACCACGGGTATCGAAACCCGGTTTCTAGTGTTTTAAGTCAGCAGACATACCGCTGTGCTACTGGGAAGGGGTGTGTGTGTGTGAATGTTTGTTTGTTTGTAATTAAGCACAAAGCTACATAATGGGCTATCCGTGCTCTGCCCACCACGGGTAGTGAAACCCGGTTTCTAGTGTTTTAAGTCAGCAGACATGCCGCTGTGCCACTGGGGGGGA